AATTATATTTTTACCTAATGTTAAATTATTTTCATATTCAAGTTCCTTATTAATTTTAATCAAAACTGTAGAAATTTCTTGATTTAAAATAGTTGTTGAAAGTGTTAATCTATTAGGAGGAATATAACCATAACAAAGACTTTTAATAAAATCTATAAAATATGGATGACCAACTACAGAAAATGGAATACCACAACATATAAAAAATCTAATTAATGCTTGATCAATTCTATTTTTTTTATTTGGTTCAATATTTGTTGTTGAATCATAATAATCAAATACTAATTTTTCAGAACTACTACTATTATTTTTTGTTTTTTTAGAAGAATTAATATTAGCTAATATTTCTAAATATTCTAATTTAATATCTTGAGGTATAACATTACAAAATAATGCTAAATGAGATTTTAATTCTTCTGGTCTTCCTCTAATCTATTTTTCAGAACAATAATTACATTTTGCTGAATAATGTTCATTTCCAATAGATTCTTTAATAAAATGATCCCAAACACAAGCTTCTTTACAATCTCTTTTATTTTTTTTGATAGAACTTTCAGATACAATATTAGAAATAATTTGAATATTTTATAAAATAAAAAATAATATTTTTATATTTATTATTTTAACAATATATACTAGGAACGGAGTGAAATAAAATATATAATTATACAGAAAGTGAAATATTGTGTGCATATACAGGCTTCTGATTGGTATAGTTTTAAATAATATAATATCCTGATTTATATTTCGTTTATCTGGCATGTACTATTTTATAAAAATTGCGTCAGCATTTTTATTGTATAAAATTTAACTAAGCCGCATTTATATTGCTTAGTACAGATTAGAGTTCCGCATGGGCCAGGCTGGGCTAGATATTTCAAAGTTCAGATCCAGCTCATTAAAAATATGTACCAATTATTTAGATCCAAATTCGGCCCATATTTAATTAGATAGATCCAAGCCCGGCCTATTACCACATAGTATAATCCATAATATAAACTAAAGCTTGGAACCAAATTACAAGCAATTTACATATTATAAGCAATTTATATATAAGTAGCTGCGCGACATTGTCACGCAAAACCAGGAACGGAAGGTGGATTTTCAGATCAAGTTGCAGATAAAACTGCTTTCATCATGAGTATTTTGTTTGCTTAACTTTTATAAGTTTTATTTGCAACTTTAAATTAGATTATATGT